GGTTTAGGAAAGAAGAAATCTAGTAGTATATAATAAAACTACAAGGAATAGAGCCTGAAAGTACTCCAAAATTGCAACTTTACCTTTGACCGTATTAGTAAGTAACTTTGCGTGTATCCAGTAACTTGTCCACAAGTCCTGTGTTTGTGAGTGAGCGGATGTATGTATGCTGCCGAAGATATTGTCGCTTCGGATATTACTGCTCGTGGAAAATGGCCCTTAGGGATAGTAGAGGATTGCGAGACAGATAAGGACGGAAAGGTCAGAACAATAGTCGTTCGTACTAATAACGGGGTAGCGAGAAGAGACATACGAAAGGTGTGTCTCCTAGAAGGTTCCAACTAGATAGGTTATATCCATATTGAAAACGGGTAGGCGTACTGCTGTAAGTCCTATTCGTTATTTCGGTGTGGATTAGGGGATGAGTGGAAACCCTAAATTGAAGTGTCATTAACGCTTGCCTTTTTTTGCATGGAGGGATTTTGCGGGCCGGTGTAGAATCCTTTTTGAATGTTTTGTTTTTTGGAAAATCCCTCCATGTTTACATATTTTTGTTATGACATGACGGACTTTTTCTGTTGACATTTTGGTATTTTTTTTGATTCCAATTTGAGGTTTTATCATTGTATATTGTTATTATTTCTATATTTTGTACTTATATTGAAGTTTTTATGTTCGCTTCTGAACTGTATATATGTTGTTTAAATTTGATCTTTAATATGGCCACAGCCATATTTGGATTGATACGGTGGCGGTTGGACTTAACGTCACTTATTCCCCTTTGCTTTGGATACTCATCGGAGTAATTGTGCCTTGGAAGGTGCATCAACTCCAGGTATTGATTTGTATTTCCATCTTTTAATTAATATAGACCGTTTTCTCCTAGAATTGTTGTGTTTTCTGGACTTTGGACTGGGAGATACGCGTTCAGATTGCACTTATTGGAAACCATTTGAACTGCCACGGTAGAAATCCATTTATACGGTCTGCGCACTCAACTACTTCACTCCCTATCACTAGTTCAGGTGCCGATGCAACCCAATATTGGATCAACTTTCTGCATTTCGAGGTTGAGATCCCCATCCCGAACATGCTTGAATTGTTGCTTAGAGTAGTCAGAAGACTCTATATCTTGTCAGCGTCTTCACCGAAAAGAACTATATCATCAGCATATTTTAAGTCAAAAGCGTGCCTCCTGGTCGAAGGTCCACTCCTGAAGAGTCAGACGATGAGTCTGAACGTGTGTCTTTGTTCTAGGACCTGACGTAGTGTGAATATTTGGTCTATGCAGCCACATCCAGGTTGAAAGCCAGTCTGCTTTACTCTAATCTGCGCTTCACGAGCTTTCGTTAGGCGTCGGAGTATTACTATATTAGTTCGACTTATTCCCCTGTGATTGTCGTAAGAGGACTTTTTTTCCTTTCTTATAAATTGGGACAATCAATAATTGAGACCTTTAGGATGGGATTACGTCCAGTTCTCAGATTCTACCAAAGATTTCAGTCAATCTAGCTGTTGAAGCTAGACCACCATCCTTCTGCTTTCCCTCGCTTCAGACTTCCTATCGCTTTCTCAACTTCGTAAACACTTGGAGGGCTTACGTTGACTTGCCATTCATGATGAGTGAGGATCGTAGGTAACCGAAGTGTGGTTGAAGGCCAGTTTAACTGATCCCCGACGTTCCATCCTTTTCCGAGATAGTCTCATTCACATTCGGATTCCTTGATAAGTTGGAACAACTGTCTTCTGTTGTCTATCGCAGTTGCCTTTTCCATTTCCATTGCTTTCACCACGCGCCACTGTTCACGTTCATTGCGTAGGCTTTTTAACATCCTTCACTTAAGCTGACTTCGCTCTTCATCATGTTCAGAGCCAGGTGGAATGAGTTTATGAGTGTCAATCAGTTCAGTGGATGCTACTGAGATCAACGGCTTCTTCTTAGCCTTATTGTTGAATCAAAACAGAGGTTTGGATTTAGGAATAACTGTCCAGGAAGTTTAGATTCTCGTCTTGCTCAGCTGAAATCCAAAAAGAGTGATCTGGGTAAGTAACGGTTTTACTGGTAATCCTAAATATAAATAAACACCATTACCTAAACAATATTACAATCATTATTCCTTCTATAATAACACAAAGCGTTTCCGATTCTAAAAGGGTGCTCCAAGTTCCAAACCTAATTGCACACTTTCAGTCCGTGTCCATGTTCCAAATGCCAAAGGGAAAAAATCATTACGGCTGTCACCATAATTAATAATCAACATAAACAACATAATGCAGTTATAATAATAATAATATATTTATTCTCAAACAACTAAGTTACAAGATTCACGCCAGTTTACAGGCTAGATCAAATTGTCACAAATGCTTTCACATTTACTGTAAAAGTTATAGCAGTTAAATCAAGTATAACAGTCAGTTTGTGATAACATATTTACACCATGTCACTGACAGTATAATACAGCCACATTTTCAATAGTAGAGTACAAATGAGGATGGTGCACAATAGGTTCTTTTGGCGATTTTCCGAGATCAATAGTGAATTTGTTGGGAAAGGTCAAATGGAATGCGCTTGATACGAGCTGTGGTCCAGACAGTCATGTACATAGGGTGCATGTTCCCTATAGGAGCCAAGGATTTCCCACCGTGAATAGGGTTCTGAAAAGGAGAAACATAGAAACTCAAAAAGGCACAAAAAAATAGAAACTATAGCAAAATACAAACATCAACATCTCAAAATGGAATTAAACAGATAACCAAAATGTGGAACTGAAAGAATCAATGAGGACATGTTGCAAATATATATATGGAGGGATTTTCCCAAACAAAGCCTTGAAAAATGGATTCCACATCGATTGTCCGGGATTCCAGAATTCTAGCTAATGAAGCCTGATGCCCTATTTGGCATAGGGTCCCTACATTAAAAGCTTCTATATGCAATTTAGTACGGGGTTTCAAGAGACCAGGAATAAGGTTTCGTGAGCTCCTACAGTTTGCTTCAGTTGCATGAGGCGATAAAGATCGAAAGAAGGGTTGATCGAGGAGATAGGAGAGTTATTAAGAGGTGTAGAGAGGATTTGATTCTGACCAGTTTGATTTCGTCTGCTTTTATGGGTATGAGGGTTAGAACAATGAAAATGCAAATCTATGCACCCAGGAAAGTCATCAGGATGTGGAAAGTGTGTGGAAGCCTTAAGTTCGACGGTATTTTACCTGTTCAAACATTCAGCAGAGTCACTGAAACTTTCGGCTAAATGGTAACAAGCTGCCCTCTCAAATCCTCAAAGCAGAAGACTAGAAATATCCAGCTTGCTTCAAACTAATCTTGTTACTCCTAATGCTATCAAAAGTGATGGCGATACATGTGAATAAGCAAAAGAAGGATATAGTTTCAAACTGAAGCAATTTTAGGCGAAGAATAATTGTCAACGTTAAGTTTAGATAAGTGTGCTCTTATCCAGTTGAAATTCAAAACAAAACATCTGGGTTAAGGGCTGTTATTTATAAAGCTAATTATATAAATATAGATTATTACCTAGAAAAATATCACAACCAAATAAATAAACGGAAATAATATTCCATCATTTAGGAAAGATCATGCACTGTTTACTCAAGTAGCAACGTTCTAAAACGGAAGACATATCACTTACAAAGTATTAAGAGCCACTTTTTGCAACACAGTTCAAGGGTGCTTCAACTCACAGTCAAAAAAGCCCTTCTGAAGTCAGTCCAAGCAACAGTCAGAAAGGGGAATACAACAAAAAACCAACACTTACAAAAGTAGATGTAGTTCATGGGAGTCTGAGAAGTTCAGTAAAGAGGTAGGGAAAACAAAACTACAATAAATTTCTCTCTCTAATTTAGAGTTAAAAGATCCACAGAAGGTGTATGAACTCAGATTTAGGAGTAATGTAATAAAAGACGTTGGAAGACCAGATGGGATGAGTAATTTATTTGAAGGAGACACATTCTACTAGACAAAAAGTGTATTCATCATGAGACATCCATGTGGAAAACAATCTCATTCATGGCTGTGTTCTTCCACATGACTTCTATTCGTAAAACACTGAGATCACGCCATACTTCCTGCTTTGGCCGTAACTTCAAGGTGACACTCTGCTCCACTTAATATTACTAACAATCTCCGCTGAGAGCAGTACACTCCACAGTAAGTGATAGCAATTCGGATTGTCACTGAGTTGTAAGATAATAAGAGGTGAATTGATAATGGCCCATTAAGTATTCAGCACTCCAGGTCATTTCAATGCAAGCATCCTACCATTACGTCCACACCATGCTCCTCAAGGTAATTCTCGAAAAATTGCACATCAGTGAGCAATAACTCAGCCAAGTGTTTGGGTTTTTTCACCAGTTGTTGTCATTATCACTCCCTCTGATCGATAAGTTACTCTTTAGCTCTAACTCCGTTACCTCGTTTCTCCATACCGTTCGATCCTTTCATCCTTTCACCACTACCAATTTGTTAAGTTGTTTATTTACTCAACTCCGCAATCTCCCCTTCACTAGTATTAGAACCTTTTCTTGTTGTTTCTCATTCTGCAAGCAAATGATCTTCGGCCTAGTAATGTAATAGCTACTGGTGTCCAGAAACTTTACTGCCCTATAACAAACACACTCATTCAAATCCCGAGGCATACGAATCTATAAAGAACTGCCAAATGACTTGAATGAATTCACTCAAGTTGCTAGACCACCATCTATTGGAAATTGCCGAATATTTGGAACTGTACTAAAGAAAAAAGAAGCAAACGTAACGAAACCAACTCCTTAATACCTGCTTGCGAAAAATATGTTAGTGATATTGTAGTACGTGACTGAGATTTACCCTAAAAAACGACAACAAAAGACATCAAGAGGTCACGTATATAGTTGAAAACCTGAGAATCATGCTAACCAATGTACGTACAACCCGACCTCGAGCACTTCGAATTCAGAATGAGGACTGTCAAACAAACAGTTTCAAGGTCGCATAAAAGGTGCGGCTGGGTTTGAAAGTGGGTCGTTTTCGGACGCTCGTAGCGAGTTTCCGCGGTCAAATTCCTATCCTTGTTGTTACGCCACTTAGGGTGCATGAATAATGAAGAAAAATCAACCTAAAAAGACTTCAGGCACTAGTCAATCCGGTACTGGAAACCCAGTTCACTTGCATATACCTGGTGATACACCGATTTATCTACATGTCAATAGTAAAACACACGTATCGCATATACCTGAGTCAACGACTCCAAAAACGTCTAGTACCAGTCAGTACCAAGCACCATGGGTCCCACCACCGGGAAAAACAAGTTCAGGTAAACTTTTGTGTGAAGTAACCTAGAACGTGGTTTTATTCTTTAAATTGTGATTATAACTATCAATATATTGATACGAGTGGGATTCAAAACAGTTTCCTTCACAAAAAATAATTAAATCTCCGTGTCGGATGGGATACTTCCCGGATGTCCAGACCAAAGCACGTGGTCTAGCCCGTAGTCAACTAAGTTCAGCTATGATGCTTGAAGGTTCTGGTTATGTATCAGAAGTTAAGCTGGAGTTCTGAGTTTGGTCTTTCGCATTGGGGCTAGGGTTTTTCAAACCACAAACTGACATCAGGTATAATGCAATGCCTTATCATTCTACTGTTTACAAACTTGAGAGATTAAAATTGAGATTTGGAGCCAGAGTTAGGGAGGGAAGATATTATTTAGCTTCACTAAGTACTTCGTAAAGTATTCCATCGCAAGCACTTTGACACAATTTGTTTTGTGAGCAGTTAAGTTTCAAAATTTGGCCTGAAGACCATCCTAAGTCCCCTATTTTAATCGATTGTAAAAATTTCTAGTTATTTCAAGCATTTTAAGGATCATATATTGTCAATTATTCCTTCAACTATAACAAAGTATAAGTTATCTATCTCTATACTTTCGATTTCGCATAAAACAATCCACTATCTTGGTTCTGGTTAATCTGCTCAAGGCTGCTAAGATTCTGGTGAGTCCTCCGTACCCACCAACCTTGTTTAATCGCCGAGAATTCACTTTCTGCCCTTTTTTACGTAAACAACACCCCAGCTATAAGAAGGCAGTGAGTGGAACTTCCCGCGCATAACCATATGATAGTTTTGCGGGGAGGAAGATTGAGTTATCCCTTCTAGCTGCCGTACAAAGGTATTAGTGTACAGTACATGAGGCAGAAAGCTTATTACTAACCTTATGACTACTAAATTTATACTACTAATTTACATACGTAACTTCCAACTGTAAATTTGTGCTGATATCTTACTTAACTAAACAAAACTTAAGGATCTAGTTTATATCATTAGCCTTTAAGAAATATAGCTTGTTAATACAAAATACCCTAGAGCTGTTCTTAATATGCATCATTTCTGAAACACTATCAGAAAAAATCAACAGAATAAAGTTATAATTAGATAAATACAGGTCATTTCAAAATTAGGATTAGCAATGTGTTCAAACTTTAGGAGAGGATAAAAAGTGATGTCACTAGTAGTGTGATCTACTCTGGAACCAAGATCTCTAACTACTGACTTCATATCCTTCGATTACTTTGATATTTGGTTTCAACTGATCAGTATGAAACTACACATCTGCCTTAAAAAGTGGATAACACGACTTGGATTTGAAATAGCTGGATAAATATTATCTCCTAATGTAAACAATAACTTATATTTTACCTAACTGTTCGGGTTAATAGATTGTGCGGTATATATTGCATTGAATACCTGAGCTTTTTTTCTTGACGAATAAGTTATACTAATTTTAAAAAAATTTACAGGGCAATACGTATATGATCCAATACGTCTAAGGGGGAAGTCTAATGAAAGAAAACGCCGATCACGTTCTGTGGAATCTGTCAGTGATGCTGTACATCGGGTGAGTTAAAATTTCAAGATTGGATATCATGCATATCATTACACATTGTTTACCAATGAGAAGTAATCTAATTCATAAACTTATTTCTTACATTGATCAGCAATAGTTTTCACTTGTAACATTTTCACAATATAAACTTGCAGCATAAAAGATGTTGCAAAAGCCAGGACCTAATAACACTTTGAACTAACTAGTCTAAATAATTGGTTTATATTTCCTTATTTTATTGATAAAAATCCGCCTATTTTCTAACATCATATCTGTTCAGTCAGACTAAACCATTACATTGCCACTCATTAACTTATTTTACTTGGTAAACTAAATTTATAAATGTAGAGTATTCAGCTGAAACATTTTGTCAATCATATCTATGAAACAAACCCAATTTCATATTTGTTACATGTTTTAAGAGATTATTGTATTTGAAGTTGATAATATTTGCATACTTGACTGGTTTTGATTTAAGACTTTTTAGCAAGAATATCAGATGAAATATTATTAAACACATATGTTCTTCACTGAAATTAGATATCCTATTTTTATTTTTAAGCGTTAGAGAGTGGGGTAGAAAACGTTTCTGACCTTAAAACATATTTTTAGGTAATGGTGTTTGATTTTCACTTGTTTTTCAGTAACTCAGGAGCTATACACGATGTAAAGTATGGCATATATGTTCATCGGATCAAGTTCCCACACTGCATCAACGCAGTAACATTAAATTATCAAGTCGAATACAACTTTCAGTCATTACGTTTTATGTCCAAACCCTCCTCTGACTACTGAGTAAACAGCATACAATTCACTACTTACCATCGACCAGCCAGTTGTAAACCTTTCAAACATGTGCATCTGTTGAAGTTTCCACACTGCATCAACACAATAAGATCAAATAATCAAGCCAAATATTATAGTAATAGAAATATTATGTATAGACAATATGATTTGAGAAAGAGAAATGAATATGCTGAATAAAATGTATAACTTTAAAACTCTATGTCTAAGGGAAAGCGAGTAGTGAATGTATCTGTATCTGTATTCAGCCATTGGTTACAATAATAATAATGATGCTAACCGCAGCCGGATAATATGAACTTGCTAACGTTACTCAGTCGACTACTCGATAGTTTCATGGACTGCTCCTACGTTTTAGTTTTTCCTTTCTTGAATTTTCTTTAAGTCTACTCATAAACCTGACAAAATCATTCATCAAACTAATGGGCTGTTGAGTAGACATTAATATGTTTATATATGATACGAGTTATTTTTTTAAAAATATACCGCCAGGTAAATTTATATCTTTGTTTTTTTCCATCCATATATGATTGCTGGCATTCAGGATTTTGTACAGTTCAATGATGACACGGAGTCTGATAAAGAATTACAAGATCAATATTCTAAAGAATTCATTCCACATGATACTATACCAATAAAAGAGCAACCATATAGTAGTAGTTCTTTGAAACATAAAGATACAATAAAGCCCACATATATTACAGGAAAATGCAGAGGTTTCGAAGATAAACTAAATGATGGATCATTATTGACAACGGCAGTTTTAGATGAATGGATAAGGGATTTGGATAATGCATCTATTCGTATTGTGAAATCAGCAAGAAATATGGTGGATTGTTTAGAACAAGTAAGATGAAATGTTTTTGTTTGGAAAATAGTTTTACCATGATAGAATGATGATGGCATAGAAATATAAAAGTATAATATAATGTTTACGCCTAAAGACAAAATATAGTATTAATTCGCTTCATACTATGTTATTTTCCGAAACAAAGATTTTGATGTGAATGCACAGCGATCAGATTGTAGCTTTAAAAAGTGTACACCAAACGAAAGCTTATAAGTACAGAAAAATGGACAAAGAAGAATATTACGTTTGAATTATGAAGTAAGAGTGATCAATAGCATTGCATTTATGATATAGCAGTTCTCTTGAAAAACTTCCAATATGTTAAAGAGTATATTTTATTATTATAATTATTTATCCTGAACGTTTATCGTTTTTTTTTTGCGCTTAACGTTTATTTAAGGTTTTGAGTGAGTGAGTATGCAATGTAAGTGACTAAATCAGTATGAATATGCTATTTACTTATGTTTATTATTGATGTGTGAATGTTTAAGTTTAACGCTTTAGCTTTACCATTCATTACACACTAACTGCAACGTTAAATGTGGGTTATTATTACCAAAGTTAATCTTAAAGTAAGATTTGAAAAATTGATATATACTAGTGGGAACTGTTTGTTTACAACTAATACAATACTGAGAAATTGTAAATTTCATCATAAGTTTACTGTCTACAATGTAAGATTTATGGTGTTTTTAAGTTTTGTCTGTAATGAAGTAAAGCTTTTGAATACCAAAGCATCAATCAAATCCTTATCTTACTCTAACCATTTAAAAGATAATAAAATTCCTCTTACATCATAATGATGAGACCGTTATTTTTAAAAAGTGCAGTAAATATGATGCTATTAAACATATTATTTTTAACATCTCACAATCATGTTAACAAAACAGGATATCATTATTAACCAATGTGACAACTTAAATTTATATTTTTTTTATGTCATTTTTGATTTCGGATACACAAATAAAATCTCCTCGGTCGTAGCCACTGTCTTTATGTGGTATTCGGGTTTGGCTTATCGTAATGACTCAACTATTCTATATCAGCTCGAACACATGTTTCTTTAGGTTTTACTATTTCAGGCAGGTCAGTTGGAGAACCGTAAGAGTAAGAGGTCTGAAGGCAAAGTCTTACTGCTGACTGTAGAGGGGTGTGACCAATAAGGTGTTTCCCTTGGACGGTGGATGGGGAGGCGTTAGAAAACGTCGACCGTAAAAATGCCACACCTCACCTTACCATACGGATTTCCGTCTCCGGTGGTAAGACCTTTTGAAAAGCGGAGCTAATATTCAAAAACTCACAAAAAGGTTGTGCGTGACCGCCCCAAGCAGTTGTCCCTTGGATTCTGACGTCACGCCTCCAGGTCACTAAGATCAGTACTAACCCAGCTTCCTTTTCGACCCCTCAAGAAATACCCTCCCACGGTGTGAGCAACTCGGAAGTGACAAGTGCCTTCATACTGTTAACAATACACAAAATCAATTTGTTTACTATCAAATCCTTCCCTTACCTCTCTCATCCATACGATTAACCCATCTCTCAGTGGTTATTCGTTATTAAAGTCTATAGCCTTCATTATATTCCAAGGAACCTGTTACATATTATTGACTTTTACATGGATTTACACTCGTCGCAAAAATGAATTTTAGACCCGAAATGATCCCATTTAAACCGAAAAGTATCCTAGAAACATACACTAATCCTGGTTGTTACAGGGTTCCATTCCTTAGATTTATTAAATTCAACCAATAACTCTTCTATGATTAATGGCATTTTTCATTTTAGGTTGCATATGAAGGAAGACGTGTTGATTCACATGATATGTCACTTCTTGTTCAACCACGTGATGAGTTATTATTACAAGCTGAGATTGCTGGATGTGCAGGACGAGAACTATGCCGATGGGCTACAACTGTCCAACAACAACAAAGTCAAATTTTAAATAATCGTTTAGCTCAGACACAGAATCGTGAAGCCACTTTAGCATCTGAAGTTCAACGTTTAACAGAAAAACTGGATCGAATGGGTAGGTTTCACATTTCATTTTTTTATTTAGACAAATTTACTATTCAAAGTTAGTTTTCATTATGAGGTTACATTATCGATTAGAAACTAAGGAAAAATAAATCTTCGATTCATCTTATTCTGTATATACCTAAAATTAGATACTCACAACTTCGATTTGAACTGCGCTTTCAACCTTCAGGCGTTTTAGTGAACACGTTACTGTTAGATAACAAAGTAGATCAGTGGATTAGTTTTTTTTAAAGGATTTTTCTTTCAATCCATAGATCGTACATTCGTATATCCGTATGCCTATTTGAGTTGGAAGAGCTCGGATAAGATTACTACTAGCTTTCACACAAAAGTTTGTCTCAAAGTCAAGTACATACAATGAGTTACATTTATTCACTGTATCACTCATATCAGTCACTGTTACTAATAAATTATTACATATTAGGTTCCTACCTATTATCAGTCAGTCAGTTACAACTAGAACTTCGTACGTAATTACATCAGTTCAAGTTGCCATACCACATTAGCACAGAGATATAATTGTCGATTTAAATCCCATAGTAGTAGAGGTAGTAAAGGTATTAGAAGAAATCGGATAGATTAGGATTCGAAGATGTTATTCGAGAAGTATAATTCAGTGAGGTAAATTTAGAAAGGGAAAGATAAAGGTGATGAGGAATTCATAGGGTTAGAATTTCAGAGAACAGAGCACCATTGCAAACGGTTTTGAGCCATGTCATTCAAGGTCTCTAACCACCGATTATTATCATCTCGCGGACCCTAACCAGGTAGTCGACACCTAGTCAGTCCACTTGTCAGTGACTTGGTGGATTTCTGCCATGTTTTGGTCTGGCCACCCATAGCTTTCGTCCAACCTATTCCTATTTCGCAAAACAAAGCTCAACGAGGCAGTCGGTGGTTAGGCATACGTAACATATGTGTCAACCACCTCAACTGATGAAGTTTCATTTCCTCATCTATTGACCTGCCATCCTTACCTTCCTAATGGCAGCACTGCTTACTCAGCTGTCCGAGGATATATGAGAAATGCTTCGAAGACATCTATATTTGAATACTAATAGACTATGAATGTCCTCCACTCTTACCAGCCATGTTTCGCATCCATGTAATAGGACGGAGCGAACTGCTGCACAGTAAACTCGTCCTTTCGTTAGCAAAAGGATATCTCGACTACGCCATAAGTCGCACAGGTTGGTAAAAGCCAATCGAGCTTTCTGTATCCTTGCTGAAATTTCGTACGTATTATTGTCTTTGAGTTATTCTGAACAACTTTCCAGTGTCATCAATCTGCACATATAATTTGAATTTAATTCCATAATTTAATAAAAAAGTTATTGAAGATCATCAGTGTTTTTGTTTTAACTTGATATGATTATATCATCATTAGATTAAATCGAAATCTTCTTGTGTTTTTTTTTTCGGATTAATTTAGAAATTGATTTAGAAGTAGCACAAAAACAATTAAATGAACAACAAAGTGAAAGTTTAAAATTTAACACAGTACATGAATCTTTGGAGTCTGTAAAAAATCACTTACAGCGTCAATTGCGTCAACGTGAAGCAGAATGTAACCGGTTAGTTTTGTTTTTTGATTATTATCTATTGATCATTGATCATCATTTCTATTTCAATGCTTTTCATGTGCCATTGCTTATGACACTTTCAAATGAGGACATTTTTAACTGAGTTATAATTCATTCATTGTTTCATCTATGTCTATATTTACAATCCTAAAACTTTATGTAACATCATATGGTTGATGTTGGTCTTGGAAAAAGAATATTGGTCAATTAAACCTTGGAATCATGAGAGGCATTGTTTCGCATGCACGTGAACATGTCATTTGATATGCTTGGAATATTACGAGTTTACCTTAGTGGGAAAACGAGAGAGAGGATCGAGGATACGGCGATACGACATGCTACTCTAATCCGATTGCCCCAACCTGTTAGGATATTCATCCAATATCCTATGAGAATTATTGGTCAAATCCTATTAGTCGATTTCTATTGGTCAAAATTATGGTCGTTTTAACTGTCAAAGTCAAATACTTCAATGTTGTTTCTGATTGGTCATCCGGACTGTCAATGTCATTTCAAATGTTCCTTCTTATTGGTCGTCTTAACTGTCAGTGTCACAGACTTCGATGCTGTTTCCTATTCGACCAAAATGTATAAATTCGCATTATTTGTAACGTTTTATGACCACGACGGGGCTAGGGCTCGGTCCCGGATCCCTAGTCCGGGATCCTGATTCTCTTCTGGATTCGGACATCGTACTTTCTGGATGCTTGTAGAATACAGGTTCTACTTCATACCATGTCTTCTTATTTTACTAAATATGGGGGTTGGGATAATCGGATTGAGTAGTATGTCGTGTCGCCGGATCCTCGATCCTCGCTCTCGTTTTCCTACTAGGTAAACTCGTAATAGTTCAAATATATCAAGTTGATGTGTTTACGTGCAGGCGTAACACAACCCCCATTGAATAAAAGAAGAAGACTCAATATGAAGTAGAACCTGTATTTTACAAACATCCAGAAGGTACGAGGTTCGAGTCCAGGAGAGAATCAGGATCCCGGACTAGGGATCTAGGTACCGGGTCCGGGTCATAAGACCTTACAGATAATGCGTATTTATACATTTAGTTCGAATAGGAAACAGCATCGAAGTGTGTGACATTGACAGTTAAGACGACCAATAGGAAACACATTTGAAGCGACATTGACAGTCATCTCGCTTTAAACGGTATCACCTTACCTCGAAAATCGAACCTCATGTGCTAAGATGTGATGAACTACTTCAAGACCATGCTGTTTTAGAATAGTTTAGTTCATTAAGTTTTGGGGAAAAAATACGATTAATTCCCTGAGTTCCATTTTAATATTTCAAATGTTAATTATCATAAACTTACAAATCATAGTGTCTTATTAAATCATGATTATAACCTATATCCCGATTGTGTGTAGTCATTACAGATTGATAAATATTCTAAATACTACTGTATATATATTTTTTGTTTCATTGTTTTAGATTGTCTGTCCAAGTGCGTAATTTAGAAACTCGTCTAACTGAACAACAAGCACAAAATCGAGCACGTCTAGAAACAGCTGAAGCTAATTTAGAACGTATGCGTGAAACAAAAGAAGCATTGAAACGAGCTGCCAAATCACAAAAACGTCGTGCAGATGAAGCTGAAGAAGCATATCGTGAAATTGCGCATAAACTTGCTACTCAAGAATCTATTATAGCTGGTTTTCAGGTAAGAGAAAAAAATAGTAAATCTTTCAAAGTAAGTTTTTTATATATAATTTAGTTCAGTTTGTACATAAGTATGTTATTTACACCAGGAATCTAGATAACAGTTAATCTCATTGCTTTTTTTATGAAGACAAGATCATCAATGGTTTATTTGTCATGTTACGGTTTTATATAATTCACTTTAAAGATAACTAGCGTTGCTAGCGAGACATAGATGGATTAAAGCATGACTGCGTTAGCTGCACACTGATCGGTGGCTAAATTTTATCCAATTAGCGCCAGTCAATACTTGGAGCACATTCCTGTTAGTGAGACATAGATGGAATTAAAGCATGACTACGTTGCTGTGCGCTGATTGGCTAATTCCCTATCCAATCAGCTCCTGATCGACTATTGGAAAACAGAGTAGAAACTTCTCGTGTTGCTAGCTGCACTCGGATTGGTTAAATCTAATCCAGTCGATCACGTGAATTACTATCCAGAAGCTTTTCCTGTAAATGCTATAAAGAAACTAACGTTGTATCTATTTTGCCTTTGGCTTCGTATTTCCATTTAACCTTGCTATTTGAAATATATTCTTTTCCTGTTCAACCGTGTTTTTGATTCGTTTCGTTTTTAGTATGACACACTCGACAGTGCTACCAGAGGACTTAACCTATAATCTTCAGAACTTTGCTGTAGTCATAACATTTTGATCAACTTTATCAGAATTTATTGATTTGATTCGATGTTAAAATTGTGCAGTAAAAATGATTATTGTTGTAGAGTTTCGTTCTGTGAGTTGGATGTTTTGTGTTGTGGAGCTTTCGTTGTTTTTCTACTAAACAAGATCAACACAAACTTCGAATACTTCACTTCTTGTGCCTGAAGTTGTTGTTGTTGTTCAGTAGAAGAACAATGAAAGCTACATAACCACAACATCCAACTCAGGGGACGTAACTCCACCACAATCATCCACGTGACCTACAAATTTTCTCCGTCATCTCAAAACTCACTTAAGAGTGTTTACTTTATGTGTATGGTTAGAATCTATAAAAGCTGTTTTGAAATTTAAGAATATTACTTAACTTCGTAATATTATTAAACGTAAAGCTCATGTAAAGTGCTATTCTCTATTCAGCTGCTGGGCTTTTTTTAAAGGAGTTATTCACCAAGTGATTACTAGTGTTGAACAATTCAAGTTTCAAATAAGTTTTCTGCTTGATCGTGAATATGCTTCACTAAGCATGAAATCAGCACTTTGATTATATTTCAGAATGTGGTTGATATATCAAGGTTGAAAAAATGGACTGATTTTCACTTCCACGCATTTGATAATAGGATAATGGTATGACTTAACGAACAGGACATACTACTAGATCATGATGTTTAGATGATGTGTACAATTCTGACGAGAAATTGAGAAGTAACTTATTGGTTACAATAACCATTTACCAACATGTATTATCATCAGTTACATAATGTGAGACATAAATGAATACAGTGGAAAAAATTTACACTGTTTTTTAGTCTCTTTGTAGTGAAGTAGTTGAGCGTGTCGACCGCTTCACTTATCTCGATAGTCTCATCATTGCTGATGACCTGATGACTGATGAAATCTCAGCACGGATACAGAAGGCTCGAACTTGCATCACTTATGGCGTAGGCGAGATGTCCGTTTGCTAAGCAAAGGATGATTGTACTGCACAGTTGCGTCTCTGTGCTAATGTGGTATGGCAACCTGAACTTATGTAACTTACGTACGAAGCTCTACATTGTGACTAACTGACTCTATATATCTCCTCTGCTTTGATGTGTTCATCTTTGCATTTCGATTCCAATATTGTATATGTTGATCAGTCACTCAGTCAGTCAGTCAGATGCAACGTAGAACCTCGTACGTAAGTACATCAGTTCATGTCGCCATACCACCCGATCACCCGACCGTAGCTGCTACCTTGACGTGGTGGTCGGGCTTGCCTATTGTGATGACCCAACCGAGCTATACTGGCTGAAACATATGTTCCTGCAGGTCCTACCATGCCAGACTGGTCGATTGGAGAACGATGAGACTAAAAGCAGCTACCCAAGGTCTGAGGGCGAAGTCGTACTGCTGACTGCAGACGGGTGTGACAGCAGTAAGGTGTTTCCCTCGGACAACCAGCATCTGCAGCGATACTGCCTTCTCACAAGGAAGGAAGGGTTAGAAAAGGTCGGCCCTAAAAATGTCACACCTCCCCTAACTCACGGATTTCCGTCTCCTTGGGTAAGGGTGCCCACTAAGGGCCTTTAAGAACGGAGCTAATCCTCTAAATACGTTTCATAAACAGGCCGTGCGTGACCGGCCTCAAGCAGTTGTCCCTTGGGCTCTGCGGTCACGCACCAACACTAATCCATCTTCCTTTTCAGGTCCCTCAAGAAACAACCTTCCACGGTGTGGGCAGCCGGGAAGTGACAACCGCCCTCATACCCGTCATTATCAGTTGGAATATCTTTTGCAATTAATTAAACTTGCAAACTCTAACATTTACTTTATTCACTGATAATTTGCCTTGTATTCTTATTCACAGACGGAATTAGAAAACTCAGCTCTTAGATCTAGAGGTCGTAGTAAAGAACGTCAACTAATCGATGTAGGCATTATGCATGATGATGATCATGATGGACTAGTAGATTCCAGTAAATCTGTTTATGCAAGTGGTGATAAGAGTTTAAGAGAGGTGAGTGAAATCTATTGTATATATGCATACTATATACTTCTGTTTATATGTTATCAATATGATTTTTAAAACAATGGCTGGTTTCATTCATCACTACTACTACAGTCAAAGAAAGTGACCTATCTAGTTTCATATAACAGCTGTGATAGCCTATTTCAAATGAAAAACTAGGGATTATTATTGTGATCGATTTAATTAATTTTTCTTTAAAATATTTTTTTCATTTTAATCAATAGGATTGAAATCGTAATAGTAGTCATTAGTATTAGTAGTAGTAGTAGTAGTAATATTTAAATAATCACTTTTCTATTTATCAAGGTTGATCTCCATCGTTATCATCATCAACATCATCAGTATCGGAAAGGTCGATGAACCAAATTTACAATATTATTTGTGATGCGTAGACATTAAAGTACAAATCTTTGCGATTGGTGGTCCACACGCACATACATATACACACACACACACACTTGCAACATGTTACAATTGTATAAAACCTATTCAAATCAATGTACTACAATTAATACATCAATGCGCATGGATGCATTCCATGCCATACATGCATACAGAGAAGCAGTAATTGCTTGTTATAGTTGTGAGAAATTACACACACATATATATATATGTAACCCTTTGTTAGGATATTCATTCAATATCCTAAGAGAATTATTGGTCAATTCCTATTGGTTAATTTCTACTGGTCAATTTTATGATCGTCCTAGATATCAATGTCACATATTCCAATGTTGTTTCTTATTGGTCGTCCTGATTATGAATGTCACTTCAAATGTTGTTTCCTATTCAACTTAAATGTATAAATACGCATTATCTGTAACGTTCTATAAACCGGACCCGGTACCCAGATCCCTAGTCCGGGATCTTCATCCTCTTCTGGAGTCGGACCTCGTACTTTCTGAATGATTGTAGAATACAGATTCTACTTCATATCAAGTCTTCTTCTTTGATTCGATGGAGGTTGAGACATTCGGATTAGAGTAGCATATCGTGTCGCCGGATCGTCGATCCTCGCTCTCGTTTTCCAACTAAGATAAACTCGTATTAGTTCAAGCATATCAAAATGACATGTGTACGTGCATGCGTTCACACCCTTGTGCTGTGAGATTGTCCAGTTTGAATTTTGAACAAGTTTGTTCAATCTCTTCATGTTTTTTTTCATTATTCTAGACAGATTTTGTTCAATATTTTTTTTCTTGCTCATCTGTCTCTTTTTTTTTAAAAAAAAATTCACACTTCAATAGTTAGTTCGTTTCATTTAGTTTCATTTTGTTTAGTTTCGTTTCGTTTTGCATATTTACATTTTGATTGGCATTTTTTAGCATTTCATTTGACTAATATAATAATTTTCTTGAATTTATTAAAAAAAACAAATAGGAAAATTTTCAATTACGTGAACTTGCATTAAAATGTGAACAACGTTTACATGCAGCTGAAGAAGAAGTACAACGTTTACGTACAAATTTATCAAGTTGTGAAGCATTATTAAATGATTATCATGGTGATGCTGCATTACAAGCAAATCAATTGCATAAGCTGAATGAACGATTAAAAGTAAATTTTGATAATTTATTAAATTTCTTTTTGTTTTTGTTTTTACTTATTTATAAACCTTGTTCGTGATCTTGTTGTTGATTTGACTTCTTGTGAAAGGCTTACTTATTTACGCTTGTTACCGCCGGCACAGCATAGGCCGCCGACCAATATTCTCCAACCTACTCTTTTCTAGACCTCCCTTTCCAGTTCCGTCCAATCTTTGTTCATTCTTCTCATGTCTATCTCCATTTCTCTACGTAATGTGTTCCTTGACCTTCCTTTTTTCGTTCCAAGTGAGGGCTTGTCCTGTGACGCAGTTGGATGCTTTCCGCAATGTGTGTCCTATCCACTTCTAGCACTTCTTCTTGGTTTCTTCCTCCACTGGAATTTGGTTTGTTCTTTCTCACAGTAGGTTGTTGCTGGTGGTGTCTGGCCAACGAATTCAAAGTATTTTGCTGATAATTGTTTTTCAAATTAAACATCCCTTTGTGATTCCCCATACAATTTTTTTCATGACCGTTCTCTTTCTGTATCTCTTTTTGTATAAAAAGATCAGTCCTCTGAGATCTACTTCTCGAATAATATCTTGGATCACTAAATCTTTTTGATTAATTTTAAACGGAAACTAAGTAAGGATGGCAGATCAATAGATGAAGTATTGAAACTTCATCAGTTGAGGTGGTTAAGATATATGTTGTGTATACCTAACCACCAACTGTCTCGTCGAGCTATATTTTACGGTGTAGGAATAGGTTGGAAGAAAGTTAGGGTGGGCCAGACCAAAACATGGCACAAATCCATGAAGTCACTGACAGGTGGACTGAGTCATGTCAGTAGGAGTCAACTACCTGGTTGGGGTCCGCGAGATGATGGTAACCGATGGTTGGAGACCTTGAATGACATGGGTCAAAATCGTTTGCGATGGCTCAGGTGCATCCACTCTTTGTGTTCTCTCAATTTCTAACCTTTTGAATTCCTCAACATCTCTATCTTTCTTTTTCTAAATTAACCTCACTGAATTATACCTCTCGAATCATATCTGTGAACCCTAATCTCTCCGATTACTTCTAATACTTTGACTATCTCTACTACTAAGCATTTGGATTGGCAGCTGAGTTTCTGTACTAATGTGGTATGGCCATACCACATTAGCACAGAGAAGCAATTGTGAATTCAAATTTCATAGTAATAGAGATAGTAGAAGAATTACTGTTAATGGAGAAGATTAGCATGTGAAGATAAATATGATATATGACTTATAATTTGCCGATATACTTTATCAATAGATAACAGTAATTAAAATTGAAATATGGGGAGGGGTGTATCAAGGATTTCTACAAGTTATCACTTATAAATCTATTCTGACTTATGTGTTTTTCTTGTATTATACTGTAATTGATTTGTGTTTTTTTTTTCCATAGAAAACTGAATCTGATCGAGAACGTAGTCAAATTCAATTAGACGATGTAGAACAACGATTAATGGAAGCAGAGAATCGTAATCGTATTCTAGAAAATGCATTACAATCATCTAAAGAATCACAAAAAAACAAGCCTATACCAAATACTGCAATCCATACGAAACAATCATTGAAATTAGGTGAATCCGAGAAACCATTACATTTAGATGGTGATGGCGGTGTTACTGGTGGCGGTGATGGGGGTGGAGGTGGGGGTGATTATTATCCAAGTGAAAATGGTCAATTAAATGAAGGTGCTGTAAGTGGAGTTTGTATATAGGGGTGGTTTTTTTAAAAAATTTCCTCAATAAATAGAAGTAGTAGTAGTAGTGTGTGTAGTAGTAGTGTTAGGATATTCATCCAATATCCTAAGAGAATTATTGGTGAAATCCTATTGGTCGATTTCTATTGGTCAAAATTATGGTCGTTTTAACTGTCAAAGTCAAATACTTCAATGTTGTCTCTTATTGGTCATCCGGACTGTCAATGTCATTTCAAATGTTCTTTCTTATTGGTTGTCCTGACTATCAATGTCACTTCAAATGTTACTTCCTATTGGTCGTCTTAACTGTCAATGTCACAGAATTCGATGCTGTTTCCTATTCGACCTAAATGTATAAATACGCATTATCTGTAACATTTTATGACCACGACCAGGACCAGGGCTCGTTCCCGGATCCCTAGTCCGCGATCCTCATCGTCTTCTGGACTCGGGTCTCGTACTTTCTGAATGTTTGTAGAATACAGGTTCTACTTCATATCACGTCTTCTCATCTTAACTAAATATGGGGGTTGGGATATTTGGATTCGAGTAGCATGTTGTGTCGCCGGATCCTCAATCCTCGCTCTCGTTTTCTGACTAGGTAAACCCGTACTAGTTCAAGTATATCAAGTTGACGTGTTTACATGCAGGCGTAACAAGTTATAGTAGTACTAGTAGTAGTAGTGTGTGTAGTATTAGTAGTAGTAGTGTGAGTAGTAGTAGTATTAGTAGTAGTAAATTCATTGTTTATACAAAACTAAAGAGGAATCCTACCTATTCTCACGTGTACTATACAAAAGTGTAAATACAGATTTATAAAATGAAAATATCATTTTAAGAACTATTTATTTGTTAGTGAATATTTTCTAAATCAAAAATAACGAAATTTATCTGGTTGTGTAAATGAACAGAATACAACAACAAACAAACAATTGCTGCATTCCATTTTGATGCTCATACTTATAATAATAATAATAATAATAATAACGTCGTTAGATAAATTCGTTAAGAACACAAGTTGTCTTTCTAAAGCTTAAACCACTAACATTGATAGACTTCAAGTAATCAAATTTTAAGTTATAAACGTCGATTATATCATGTTGATGTTTATTGTCTCCGTTGTATTTCTTATTGTCTGGTTATTATTATTATTATAACAATAACAACCAATCAAGATTGAGGTTAACAAAACAAACTAATGCGAGTCAAACGTGGCAGAATTCAAATACTTCACTTTTGTAGCTGAAGTTTGGGCTGATGATGATGATGATGTTGTTGAGAAGAACAATGAAAGCTCAGAAAACGAAACTTCACCACATAAACATTGGTACAAAAGAACACGTAAATATTTATGCACCTCACAAATTTTTGAGTTAGTGTATAGGCTAAAATATTACCAGACTGTCCAAACTGAAACAGGTGATTTCTTTTAGGGAGTCATTCTCCGAGCCTCTGACATGCAGGTCTAATTCACAAAACATTAAAACAGCATTAGGAGATGCAGTTCGATGGTAGTCGGTCATCAAAAATAGGTTTTTAGATGCTGTTACGAATTGCACGTAAACATGTCAATTTGATAGGCTTGAACTATTACGAGAGCGAGGATCGAGGATACGGCGACACGACATGCTACTCTAATCCGATTGTCCCAACCCCCGTTGAATAAAAGAAGAGGACTTGATATGAAGTAGAGCCTGTATTCTACAAGCATCGGGAAAGTACGAGATTCGAGTCCAGAAGAGGATGAGGATCCCGGACTAGGGATCTGGGTCATAAGACGTTACTGCGTATTTATACATTTAGGTCCAATAGGAAACAGTATCGAACTCTGTGACATGGACAGTTAAGGTGGTTAATAGGAAAAACATTTGAAGTGACATTGATAGCTAGGACGACCGTAATATTGACCAATAAGTATCGACCAGCAGAATTTACACTTACAAAATGATTCTTCGTAGGATATTTGGTGAATATCCTAACAGACATCATTTTTTTCGATTAGGATTTTGGAGCCTATGTACACTATTGGTTTACAATGAGGGTTTTCCAATTCCCTTATATGGTTTCTCCGTACGCTCGACCCCAGTTAAGATGTTGGAGTTTGTGTGTCTGTCCTCTCAATTTTGTAAACAACACCCCTATCACGAGAAGGCAACAAATAAGGACTTCCATGACACGTGTGTCCATATAAGAGTATTTCGAAAGGGAGAACGAACTCTCCTCATTATCGACCGGTTTCTTGAATCAAACTCCGACAATGGTCAGTCAGTCAGATGCAACGTAGAACTTAGTACGTAAGTACATCAGTTCATGTCGCCATACCACATCAGCACAGAGATATAATATAATTGTCAATTCAAACCCAATAGTAGAAGAGGTAGTAAAGGTATTAGGAGTAATCGGAGAGGTTAGAATTAAAAGATATCATTCAAGAAGTATGATTTAATGAGAAAAGTTTAGAAAGTCAAAACTAGAGGAGTTGAAGAACCCAGAAGATTAAGATTTGAGAGAACACATAGTATAAATGCACCGGCGCCATTGTAAACGATTTTGAGCCATGTCATTCAAGGTCTCTAACCATCGATTATTATCATCTTGCGGACCCCAACCAGATAGTCGACAATTACCGACATGGCCAAGTCCACTTGTCAATGACTTCATGGATTTATGCCATGTTTTGGTTTGGAAACTCAAACAATGGGGTTTGAATCCAACAGCATAATTGTTGAAAACTGAATTTTTTTTCAACTATTAATCAGCTAAAGTTTGATTGTGATTGTGAATATATTTTTTTTCCCTAATTCATTCATTTATGATTGTCTCTTCTTCTTTTTGTTGATCATGTTGTTGTGGTTATCGTCGTCGTCATGATTTCTTTCTACTACATTTGAATTAAAATCAATTCAGCAAAATAATCTATCCAAAGATCATCATCATCATCCACCTAACATCACCACTAATACAATAATAAATAATGTTTTAATTCAAGAATTAAAACGTGAACTATGTGAAGTACGTAATGAGAAAAAACAATTAGAAATACATTCAAATGATTTACGTGCCCAATTAAATCAAACTGATGCTACAAATCGTAGTTTACAAGCTTATTTAACATTTTTAAAACGTTCCTATACTAGTGTATTTCAATCTGATATGATAATGAATCCAGCATTGATTAGTGGAAATCAATCGATGATAACAAAAAATCTCAATCATGAATGTGTTTAATACTTACGGTACGGCGGGGGCAAAACTAACTAACTACATCATACACAATTAAATAAGTGTGAATGAATACCTGACAGTCAGTATTTCTTTGCTTTCAGAACAAAACTCATGTGCTTCCATATCCAATATACACATACACACTGCACACACACACACTCACACAACATCATTTGTTCATAATGATGCTGTTGCTCTAGTGTGTTCTCAGTTTTTTATTTAACGATCTCAAAGCAGAAAACACCAGGAATCAATCAATCAATCACTCATCAATTAATTACCTCCACTGTCAATATGATGTTTGTTTCTTCTAGGTTTGTTTTTTATATTCCCGTCCCCTCCCCTTTGACTAAAAAATGAAAACTTTCTTTTACAAAAATAATGTTTGCATATTGTGTCAAGTACATATTTTAACAACAACTAACTAGGATTACGGTTATTGTTATGATTACCTGTGATATAAGTTTTTTTTTTCTCAGCTCGTTTGTTTGTTTGTTAATTCAGTATGCATGCGTTTTTTTATGATTTCTCTGTTTGTTTGAAATACTCTATTTAGTAATATTATTATTATTATTATTATTATTGATGAATGAATGAATACTGTTCTTATTTGTCAACACTTTTCTCAATTTATTGCTAAAATTGAATTTTTGGTTGGTTGTTTTTTTTTTCATAATTTTTTTTTTAATTTTCGTCTGAATATAATGAGAATTCAACTGGTTATTTTTTAATCCGGATGTCTCTGTGTGTGTGTGTGTGTTTTTCTCTTTTTTCTACGCTGTTCTCGTCGTCGTCGTTTTTTTTACACACATCTATCTAATGCAAAATGTCATCGATTAGGTGAAATATTGTATCTCTTTATCTAGGAGTTTTTACAATTTCTTTCTATGAATAAATAAAAATAATACTTTGGGGGGGAGAAAAAAAGTGTTTTTGTTTACCATTGGAAATTTATTTCATTTAAAAATACATTATGAGTACTGTGTATGTGTGTATGTATGTGTGTGCCTCTCTCTCTCTCTCAGTTTCCGCATGTGTGTGTGTGTGTTGTTTCGTTCTTGTGGACAATTTTTTTTTAAAATGCTTAACGATTGTTATTTTTGTGTGATTGATACTGGAGAAGAAGAAGAGGAAGAATTTTGCTTGGTAAAATCATTCGATGAAGTACAATCTGATGAATATCTTTAATAACACGCTAAGAAGTAGTTGGGATACAATCACTTCTCTTCTAGGAAGTCAGTCGGCCAGTTACAATGTAGAACTTCGTACATGAGTACATAAGTTAAGGTTGTCATACCTCATCAGCACAGAGGTGCAATTGTCAATTCAAATCCCATAGGGGTAGAGATAGTAGAAGTATTAGCTGTATTGTAGAAGATTAGGGTTCAAAGATATGATTTGAGAAGTGTAATCCAGTGAAATAAACTTATAAAAAGAAAGACAAAGGTGATAAAGAATCCAGAGGATAAAGACTTGAGAGAACACAAAGAGTGGATGCACCTGCGCAGTGGCAAACGATTTTGAGCCATATCGTCCAAGGTCTCTAACCATTGGTGAATTTCGTCTCGCGGACCCTAACCAGATAGCTTACATCTACCAACATGACTCAGTCCACTTGTTAGTGACTTCATGTATTTGTGCCATGTTTTTAGTTTGACCGCGTCTAGCTTTCTTCCAACCTACTCTTACATCACAAAACATCGCTAGTCGTGGCATTTGGTGGTTGGGAATTCGTAACACATGTCGCAACCACCTCAATTGATGAAGTTTCAATACTTCATCTATTGATCTGCTATCCCTACCTAGTTCTGGGAGAGGTATCAGTCAATATCTAGATTAGTCATGAGGAATAAAGCGGTTAGATGAGTTGATTATTTTACTTATTTTAGAAGTGATGGTTGATTAGAAAAATTTTATCATGAAAATAAAAAGCTTAGCTGTAGTTTGCCAACTTGCATCACAGTATAAATCCTTTTAATTCATCACGTTGAAAGAAAACCTAGCTTAATTCACAAATGAAGAGAATATATTTGATTGAGAAATGAAGGATCCCTTAGTAGAAATTTCAGAATACCACTGATCAATAAGCTCATTGTAAATCTCATTTATTCTATCACTATATATACGAGACAAAACAATATTTGAACGTAATAATTGAATTAATACCGATAGTTCATTAGTAGTCAGTTGATGTGCGATATTGATGAGTAGACTGGAAGAACATTCAGCAGAGGAAAAACGTAAACGTCCGAATAGTCCATGAAATCATCGAGTAGTCGACTGAGTCATGTTAGCGAGTTCAGATTATCCGGCGTTAGTTATTATTATTATTATGATTATTATTGTAACAAATGGATGAATACTTTGGGTTACTACACTTCAAATGGACTGCAGTGGTGCACATACATTCACTACTCGCTTTCCCTTAGGTCTAAAGTATTAAAGTTATACATTTTATTGTGGATATTCATTTCTCTTTCTCAAATCATATTGCCTATACATAATATTTCTAATACTATAATATTTGGCTTGATTATTTGACCTTATTGTGTTGATGCAGTGTGAAAACTTTAACAGATGCACATGTTTGACAGGTTCTACATTGTTTACAACTGGCTGGTCGATGTGTTAAGATATCTTAATGATGAATGGTTAGTTGTGAGTTGTACTCCGTTTCCAGTAGAAATCTGAGACTTTAATTTGAATACTAGAGATACTAAACAGCTGTTTTGTAATCAGTAGTCAGAGTAGGGTTTGAAATGATTAAAATTTGTCAGCTTTATTTACCAAACAACTGTTTCTCGTCGAATAATCACTATCGTGTTTTCCTATACATCAATCCATAAGGCTATCCATTCGTCAAAAAAGAATTCATGCACAATTGGCAATCAAGCCTGGCAACAATATTCATGAAAATATATTTAAATATCAAATAATGTAAAGAAACGATATACTACCAGACATCTATGATGTAACCATAGTTATATGTTTACTTTCTATGACAAAATAAATAATTTGCATTAATAATGCACCTCTAGACAACACAAGATATGTTATGCTAATAGAATATATATATATATATATATATATATGACCCTGACATTAGAATGGCTGTTTTAATATATTTATATATATTTGCTTAAATATATTGACGTTCTCCTCTTAAGTAAGAAGATCTACTATGTTTCCTAATCGAACTGTATAAGGTGTTTCTCACTAATCTCTTTCTCTCTCTCTCTCTCTCTCTCTAGCTCGCTGAAAATAAAAATTACGTTGCTTAGCGACCAGTAATTTCGTCAGTTATTCATTTTTGTTGTTGTTGTTGTTGTTGTTCATTTTTTCTATAAATTGTAAACATTTCATTTTTTTTCTATTATCATTTATAAATAGTTATTTTGATGATCAGCATATATATATGATAATCACTCCAAAGTAACTAATCAATACAAGAATGCAATAACTATATATATATATATATATATATATATATATATATATATATATATTTGTAGTATTGGTCATTATTATGTTGTAGAGTGATAAATTATGCATAATTTGTGCTTTTGTTGTAATGATAGTAGTAATAGTATTAGTAGTGTGGTGTACGCTACTTATGTTCACATAAGTAGTATATGATATCAAATGGAAATCAAACGTCTGACAACAAAATATCGAGAAGGAAAGAATGAGAACAGAAGGCGATTTGTAGGTAATGTAAAGTGAACTGAAGTCTGAACAGTCAGTCTAAATGAAAGAACACTGAGATCTGTGACAAATAAGGATTAGTTTGCAAATGATGATTTCACGGGAAGGTTTTGTACATATGCTTAACAACTCTGTAATATTCGTTTAAATATATGTATGTTAATGACCTCACCTGAGTTTTTGTGCACAACAGTAGTAGTATTAGTAATAATGACAATGGTCATAGCCAAATAGTCTATATGAATGAAACAATGACTAGTAGTGGTAGTGATGTAATAATTCATTTAAGCTGTATGTTCAATGCCTAAAACAAAACCTTACTAATAGCATAACATACTATGGTTTGTGTAAAACATGCAGTTAGTATACAGTTAACATGTATTCAATGTCAATCTGACAATTGATTTATTGTTATGGATGAGTGTTTTTTTTTAAAAAAAGAGTTACTATTTGGTCAACAGAATACTTTTAACTTAAACAGGGGTTAGTTAGTGTTGCATAGATTGGGAGTAGTTTTTTTTACCTATTTACGCTTAATGGTTGGAGCACAGGCTGCCGATTAGCATTCTCTGATCAGTTTTGTCCAAGGCTTTCCTTTCCAGTTCTATCTAGTTGTTATTCGTTCGTCCCATGTCTGTCCCCGATTCTCAGTGCAATGTGTTTCTAGAATGGAAGTGTAGTCAAGAGCTTCCTAGTTTTTAATGGTATTCCTACTGACATTATTCTGCGGTGAATACAACCTATAAACCATAGAATTTATCTCACTAACTTGCATAATCTTGAGATAGGCTTTATTGCGAAATTGATTTCAATTGACAGGATTTTCTATTTTATGGGATAAAAGGGTTTTAAGTATGTGACATAGATCTTATTTGAAATCTTGGTCAGGAGTGTGTTTACCGCTTCATTTAACTGGGGAGTGTCATCAGTGATGATAGCCTGATGTCTGACTAAATCTTAGCATGGATACAGAAGGCTCGATTGGCTTCTGCCAACTTGCATCACTTATGGCGTAGGCGAGATATCCGTCTGCTAACCAAAGGACGAGTGTACTGAGTAGCACTTGGCTCAGTCCTACTATATGGATAGGAAACATGGCCGGTAAGATTTGAAAATATCCGTAGGTTATTAGTATCCTATCACAGGTGTCTTCGAAGCATTGATCGTATAACCTGGGACAATTGAGTAAGCAATGCTGTTGTTAGGAAACGAGTACTAGGTAGGTATGGCAATTCAGCAAATGAAGTATTGAAACCTCTTCATTTGAGGTGGTTGCGACAGGTTTTGCGTATGTCCAA